GATCACTAGAATTTCAGCTAGGAAATCCGAACAGATGAAAAATTTTTAGGGGATAAAAATATGCCTATATCTACCGTTTGAATACTAAAATACGTTTAACAATGCTATGTTTAAGTGGTTTTCAACTATCGTCTCGTTGGGTGCCCCTGTTTCTAGTGAATTCCGCGTTCTGTGTCCTACAGTGAAACACTTGTTTGCTTGTTTTGGGTAAAAAGAAAAACGTGATATCAATGTACGAGAAATAAAACTTGATCATATCGACGGGGACGTGATTGAATCATTGCAAAGGAATTGAATAGTCACTGACCTCGATCAATCAAGTCATTCTGGCTTTAGTCTTAAAATTACTAAAAAAAATTATCGACCAACCGTGGAAATAACATCCGCGCCTAAAACAAATCTATCTATTAGTTTTCAGCTGTTCCTGTTTCGGTCTCCATCGTAGTGGTAAAAAGATGCTGTTAGGAATTCAGTTTTATAATGAGAAAATTTCATGTATAAAGGGTAGTGTGATACAGTAAAACCCACGACTAAGAACCTTGTTTTTACGAACCTTTTAGGCTAAAATTTGCCCGTAAGGCCCCTTCGATTTCCAAGAACCAGTTAAGCCTAAAATTTGAAACAGGTTCTTTATTTTCTAAAATCTATAAAAAGAAACAGAGTAAGATTGAGCAAATAAGTTAGCATTCAGGATCCTCTTTGAAGAATTGTCCGTCCAACTGCAATGTCAGTACAGCAGAATGTAATAGTATGCAGATTTTATTAGGGAATCGGAGCTGAATACCTATGCAGATTTTATTGAAATGAATACCATTAAATACTCTTAGGTACAATCCATTTTTTCTTTAGAAAATAAGAACCTAAATAGGCTAAATTTGTGCTAATTACCTTTTCTGTAAGAACCTGTTTAGGCTAACTTGGAAAAATGTAGGTTCTTAGTTGCGGGTTTTTACTGTATTGCAACAAAACGTTCCTAAAATATACGACCATCAGGACGACCAATCGTGCCGAACAACTACAATCACTTCACTAGACAATCAGGTCTTCATCAAGCAAAGCTAGAAAATTGTCGCACATTTAGTTTTAGAATTAGTAGCAAGCGTGAGACCAGTTTATGAAGTCAAATTTAATTTAAGAGAACAGCCGGCTTTTCAACGACGCTTTAGACCCAGGAAGGGGGTGTGGGGGCGGATTAGGGGCTTCCTATAATCGCTTATACCCGGAGGTTCTGCCCGAAAAGAAGACAGGAAAATTCACTGTTGAAGTAAACGAAAGCGTAAAAACCTCTTTCATTTGAGAATTTAAATAAAATTGCTATATCATTTTACTCTAAAACGACATAAACACTTCCTGTTTTAGCGATTCACCCCAATGGAAGGTATACGAAAGAGGTACCTTTTCAGTGAAAATGGTATATAAAACCATGTAAATCTTATAGTGAGTAGTCCCTTTCCCCAGTTTTTTACACCATCAAACATGTACTGTTGACATTTGACGCCTCCGTAAAACTCAATTTTGCTGCTTACTTAATTACACTTTGGGGGGAAACAGGGGGTCCAGACCGCTCCCGCCTCCTCCATCTTGCATTCCTGTCTCCGATCCCTTTTTTCTTGGCTTCCTCCTTTTAGCATTGTTGCATCAAAGACTGCTGACATTAAAACGTCTATTTTTTTATGGAACACGAATTTGCCGCCTTTGTGTTTAAACTCCAGGCCCCAGTCGTTCCAAAGGTGGATAACGCTATCCACTGGACAAATTTCTATCAAACGGATAGTGCATGCAATTCAGTGGTGTCCCTAATACTTGATATCCATTGGATAACGATTTAACCGGTGACGTGGATAACCAACTGTGGCCAGTTTCTCACAGTTAAACTGAGTTGTCTTCACCAGAAAGCGCGGGAATTTTGGGGGCTAGCGCAGTTACGAAATATTTTAGCCAGAAGCTAGAAAATAATGATATTATATTTTATGGCTTTATAGCGTGTTGATATAAACAGACACGGACGACACCCTTTTATGGGTCAAAAGATTTCTATGTTTTAGGTCACAATCAAAATAACGTGGTTTCGGAACAGTGCTTGCTTAACATTCCTTATAGATTTTAACGCAGTGAACCACAGGTTAATGAAATTCCCCGGAGGCGTTAAAACATGAAAGACTTTTGATGCTTTCCGACAGCGTTTTATATTCCGTGTCGAAAAGTTGATCACGTAAATAAAAATCTGTATTGCTTTAACAGAAACAGGCAAACGATGCACCCCCAGCAACAGGGCACCCAGGCTATTTTAAGGATTATTAGCATGGCTGAATCCGCGAGCCGGCAATATGACGCAAAACCTGTGTACTGATTGGCTACTCGACTGAGCCTGAAAAATGTGCCCATCTTGCCTTTCGACATTTTCCGCCTTGGTTCAGCAAGAAAATGATATCTTTTTGGCCATGAAACAAATCCTTTATTGACCCAGCTTGTTCGGGCAAGATGGCTGGATATTGGCGTCCTCGTTCTTTTTTGTGTTGTTATTATCTTTTTTTTTTGATCCGTGAATGCGAAACAAGAACTTGATCAATATCCAGCCTTATTGATCTCACGCTTGGTCAATAACACATATCAAGAGCCTGTACATGTGTATTAAAGGACTTCAAAGAAGCCCGACCCCCTGGGGCGTAACAAAACAAAATCGTCTCTAAGAGTTAGTTAATATATCCAAGATTAAACGCACATTGTATTAAAATACTTGATATTTGACTGGGTTCTTTCTCATTTTTACAGTACTTCACATTTGATCGAATTACATGTATTTTGATGATGTTCTGTTCATTAGGACACTTTGTGACGGCTATGATAATGATAGTGCATCTCATTAGGGTTCGATCCTGGATATACTGCAACCAGCCGCTTAAAAAGCTTCCCACCCCTCACACCCAACCAGCTATAGGCCTATCTACCTGCAAACAAAAAATACATCCGATTATAAGCTTCCCCCAAATGTATTGAAATGAATGATCTTTTGACGCTTAGTTAAAAACCAGTAAATGCAAAATTATTTTGACTAGCACTTCTGTAGATTGCTTCGAAGCGTTTTCTATTCCTGTGATAAGCTCCCTCGGATGTAAGTCCCTCCGTTTATAAACCCTCCTAAAACCCCTTACAAAGATATATAAACCCCCCTGGGATATAAGCCCCTCCATTTATAAGCCCTCTTAAAACCCCTTACAAAGATGTATCAACCCCCGTGGGATATAAGCCCCCCCGTTTATAAACCCTCCTAAAACCCTTTACAAAGATGTATAAATCCCCCTGGGATATAAGCCCCTCTGTTTGTAAGCCCTCCTAAAACCCCTTACAAAGATGTATAAACGCCCCTGGGATATAAGCCCCTCCATTTATAAACCCTCCTAAAACCCCTTCCGAAGATGTATAAACCCCCCTGGGATATAAGCCCCTCCATTTATAAGCCCTCCTAAAACCCCTTCCGAAGATGTATCAGCGGCAGTTTAGGATCAGTAGACACCAAAACGGAAAATTAATGCAAGTATGAAAGACAATAAATATGTCGTTAAAGGATAAGTCATGAATAAATGCCTGTTCTTCTCTCTTTAGACAGGAGTTTGAATTAAAGTTTCAGAAAAGTTGGAAAAAGTTTGAACGGATGTGAGTTCGTTTCTTATTTGTCTCAGGACATAACTTCCTTTTTCACGTTTTGGTGTCGTTTTCGACTGTTTCTACAGAGAAACGTACACAATATCGGCTCCTGATATTGTACATTGAAAATTGAAGCGCTGTTTACGTTCACGATCTCACCGATGTTTGAGAAGTTTACACGCGATTAAGTCAGTCACTTGAAATGTCCTGATCTTTCTCGGTCACGACAATGTTTCTTTCCGATTGCCTCGCGTCTCTTTTATGATGGTGTCGATGATGATGATGATGACGATGATGATGACGACGATGGTGATGACGTGACTTCCGGTTCCGGTTACTCTCCTGAGAGCTGCTTCTGCGTCTATCNGGGATATAAGCCCCTCTGTTTGTAAGCCCTCCTAAAACCCCTTACAAAGATGTATAAACGCCCCTGGGATATAAGCCCCTCCATTTATAAACCCTCCTAAAACCCCTTCCGAAGATGTATAAACCCCCCTGGGATATAAGCCCCTCCATTTATAAGCCCTCCTAAAACCCCTTCCGAAGATGTATCAGCGGCAGTTTAGGATCAGTAGACACCAAAACGGAAAATTAATGCAAGTATGAAAGACAATAAATATGTCGTTAAAGGATAAGTCATGAATAAATGCCTGTTCTTCTCTCTTTAGACAGGAGTTTGAATTAAAGTTTCAGAAAAGTTGGAAAAAGTTTGAACGGATGTGAGTTCGTTTCTTATTTGTCTCAGGACATAACTTCCTTTTTCACGTTTTGGTGTCGTTTTCGACTGTTTCTACAGAGAAACGTACACAATATCGGCTCCTGATATTGTACATTGAAAATTGAAGCGCTGTTTACGTTCACGATCTCACCGATGTTTGAGAAGTTTACACGCGATTAAGTCAGTCACTTGAAATGTCCTGATCTTTCTCGGTCACGACAATGTTTCTTTCCGATTGCCTCGCGTCTCTTTTATGATGGTGTCGATGATGATGATGATGACGATGATGATGACGACGATGGTGATGACGTGACTTCCGGTTCCGGTTACTCTCCTGAGAGCTGCTTCTGCGTCTATCAAAACTCCTAATGCGCTGTAGACGACCAGTTTTACGTTCTGAGATACCCTGATGTTTAAACCTTCCTTCACCCTGAAGGAAAGCTCGTTTGTCCTCTTGTTCACTGCCTGCGCTTTCTTCGTTTGGAGAAATCTGTTCATCGTTATTTTTACCGCGAGATTGTAGACGTTCTCGGTTATTTTCACGTTCTTTGCTTAATGACATTGGTGCATAACTTTGTGCCCCCAAAGTTCCATGACCTTCTTCAAACTCATAACCACGAGCTAAGCTTCTCCCCGTCTGTTCGTCACCGTTCGAGTATGAAGTTGGTTTCCGTATGTCCCTGGTGTCTTCTTTACGCGCAAGATGGCTCTGTTTTTCCAATCTGTACAAAATGTCTCGACTTTCTTGTTCAAATTCCTCACTGTCGCTGTTACTGCTAGTTTTTTCTCCTCTCCTGTGTCTGCCAGTTTCATTAATTGAAGCAAACTTTGACCTTGCATGGCCTTCATTTGCACAGGTCTTTCCCTCTTCTTTCCGTCGCCTTTCTGGAAAGCGCTCTTCAGTTGTACGTGAACATTCGTTAGCTTTTTCATCATTTGATGATCATCATTTGATCAATGATTTCCCTTTCACCTCGTGTTTCAACTGTTGCAAATTTATCACTGCTTTCACCATCTCTTACTGAGTAGCTCTGTTTCGTTTTTCTTTCCGCTGATTCACGGTATTTCATATGCTATTAGCTATCTGTTCTCTGAAGTAACTGTGATCTTGGGGACTTCGAATGTCTTCGTGGAGACCTCGAGCGTTGTCGCGGAGACCCCGAGTGTCTCCGTGGAGACGGCAAGCATCTCTGTGGGGAATTTGAGTGTTTTCCTGGGGACTTCGGCCGTCGTCGAGAAGACATCGGGGGTCTTTGAGGTGAAAGCGAGTGTCTCTGAGAAGATTGATTGTTTTTGTGGAGACTTCGAGCGTCGTCGAGAAGACATCGGGGGTCTTCGAGGAGAATTCGAGCGTCGACGGGAAGATCTAGAGCGTTCTCGAGAAGACCTCGACTGTCTAAATGATGATCGTGCACGACGTATAGGAGGCCTTGTACGCCTGCGTGGAGAGCTTGACCGAGCCACCAAAGGTGGAGAAAAACGGCGCGAAATGTTCCGCGTTTCATCCGGAGAAGAAGGCGGGGGTGTGCGATACCGCTGAAAAATAAAAATCATGTGATTAAGTTTCGTTTCAAACCTGACAAATGGAATTTCGAACGACTGAGTAGCCTCGGTTCAGGTTCTTTGCTTGGGGTTGGGGGGGGGGGTGGGGAGGGGGTACACTGTAAGTGGGTTTTCAGAGATGTATTTTGCCTTGTTTTGTCTCCTGACCGCTTCTAAATGATTCATTACTTAGTGATATTTCCTTTTCTCCTGGTGTATTGTTTTTCTCGTAAGGAATTTAAACTAATACCCTGGGAATTTTCTCACCATATTTCCTCGTCCGCGTAGAATCCTTCCCGATCTGGAAACGTGCCGATAAGAAAAACAAACAGAGATAGATGATAGAGGGTAAAAAGTTTTATAATTGTGTTAAAAGAAAGAAAAATAGTTACCCGCAGAATCCGAGCTTCATTTTAAGAACCAAGGGACTCGGGTGTAATTGTTTTATTAATAATTATGGATATTTTCTATTGAAGGTATAGACCTTATTCATAACAACCACCATCTTTGCACGCGTTCAAAGGTTGATGGGATAAATGCAATGTCACGTGATTTATCAGTCCTGAAGATCATGCGAAGATGCCGGATACAATGAAATAAGGTCTACTGATCTCCCAAACAATATCATTTCAGCAGGTGTACGTACCCTGGTCCTTTGCTGTGAATTACTTTGAGGCGGAGCTTTATACCCTGGAGGAGACTTACTTTTCCTGTGGTCATACAAACAGAAAATAATATAAACAACTTGAAGATACTACTGCCATCTGTCTCTCAACATCTGAACAACTTTTTCTGAACCATTTGCCATCAGAATCAATTCAGCAGTGCTATCACGTGGTACTATGTAGTTTTAATTTTTGAGTCTGTGGATGAAATCCTATGGTGTGACCATTCAAATGAAACCTCTTCCATCAGTAGTACTTTCACATGGTACCATTTCCTTAGTGTGTAATCAGGCACGTTGGATGAAATGCACTTCTTAGTTTTGAGTCTGTGGATGAAATCTAGTTGTGTTGCCATTCCAAAGTACTTTTGTATGTCACAATTAATTTTATTAGTACATACCTCAGAGCTTTGAACAAAGAAAGAGCTTTGCCTTGGGCAAAATTTATCATTTGCAAATTTAGTATGGACTTACATGCTCAAAAAATCCTAATTCATGATAATTATGCACCGAAAAGGGAATGAGCCCAGCTCTCATAGAAATGATTAAGGTCAGGTGTACCTCAGAGGAAACATACCAATAGAAAAGAATTATTGGGAACATCTGGGATCTCATCGAGAGCCACTGAACTAAAAGGTTCAGGACTCTTTGGTTTAACATCTCCTGGACTGGAATTCAAATTAATTGCTGATATTAGTGTCAATATTTCACTAACAGGGAAGGGGGCGTAAAAGCAACATTATGATGTAATATGGGACCTCAAATGTAGCCACAGATTCCTTTGCTTATCACTTACTTGGCCTGGTTTGTTCAAAGCTGGGTTAAGATAACCCTGGGTTAATGCAAGGTTTGTGTAAGTACTGTCAGGCAAGCCAGCAATGCAGCCAAATTTTTAAGGTGGGCAAAAACTGCTTGTCTTCATTGCCATGGCTGCCATCTTTGATCACTGAGAAAGACAGGGCAGAGTAGAAATAGCAACCCTTGGGGTAGTCATGGGGTGAAAAAAGGTAGTAAGAAGGGGGAGGGGACTGGAGAAAAAATAATATATTGTGTTCTCTTCTTTCTCCCTAGCCTGCGTAGCAAGAGTTTGCTCTTGTTCCATTTTTGGTGCGGCCAAAACCAAAAATCCTGTTCCATGTCATTCCTTTGTCTTTCTTTACTCTGAAACCACACAGGAACGCTTCCTACAACAGGCTACTTTCTCCCTAACCTCTTTGACATCTTTGACCCCTTTGACCTCTTTAACGCCTTTGACTTGCCCTTACTCACTCAATTTCTTTGAAATTCAACATGTTGGTTGCCATGGTTACATTCTGCATTCGGCACAGTGGCTCCATCAGTCCTTTTTGCTACTCCACTAAATCTATCTACATGTACATGTTGTCATTTGAGTGTAATGAATGAATTAGTGAATGCTGTACTTTTTGAGAGCAATGTTAATTTTTGAAATTATATGTATATGCATTTATGTTTTAATTAAGTCATTAATTATTTTATTCACAGTATTCATTTTTATCAGATTTGCATTTTTTGTATGTACTCGTTAAATGTTTGTGTATTGATGTATTTGTGGTGTAGTTACAGCCACTTACCTGTCTTTTATCTCTTTCTTTTTCTTCTTTGCTTTCTTCTTGTCCTTGCGTTTTACAGATTCACTCATCTTTTTTCTTCTTTTCTTTTTTATGCGTTTCTTTTTCTGCTGCTCATCAATTGATGACTGATCACTGACTGATTCTGATCCAGAACTGGATGAAGAGTCAGTATCTGAGGAGCTGCCATCAGAATGTCGCTTAGATTTCCTTCTATTCTTTTTGGCTTTCTTCTCTGCAGCTGAAAGTTAACAAATAACAGTAAGACATCACTCAAGAACAAAAGTATGGTGCCAGGGGCCAGCGGGCAGCACTGCTGCTAGAGCACTGAGCCCTGTACATAAATTTAGTCAATGGAAACATATCCTGTACTTTTAGCCTTTGCTTTTGGAATAAGTTCACCACAGTTGATAATCTTTACATCCACTAGGGGCCTACTCTTGTCATCAACTCTTTGAATCTCTATCTCTGATACTATTTCCTGACCTTGCAACACATGGCCAAATATCACATGAATCCTAGAAATAAAAAAAAATATGCCACAATATAAGCAAGAGAAACAATTGAAGTGTGGGTAATCATTGATCTGTGACTTGCTTTTGAGTGGCACTGCAGCAAAGAAAAATGCATATGTATACAAGTCATGTACAAATTATGTCAGTACTTATTTCCCATTTTTTTTTTATTTCACGAAATTTGTTTGCGCAAATAAATATCCTCACAAAATGATAACAAGCCAAACGTTATATTTTTAATATTTGATATATGTACCCATAGAGAATTAAAATCATATAAAAACAATTAAGATTTAATAACAACAACTGTTTCTACTGTAGAGCCTAGGTGAATTGACAACAAATTATTAACTGGTTTTACTGGTAATTTTTATTCTGTTGTGGAATAATGTTAATATGCATTTTGTTTGTTACAGTTTATCTTGATATCTTTTAAAAATTCAGATGTTTGAAAAATAATATAGCAAAATTTAATACCCTTTTTTATATCTGTCTATTGAAATTGAAAAACTAAAACCATGTGAAACAATGTCTTGTCTGTACCAATAATGTCATAATGCTAACAGAAATTTCGTTTTTGTCAGTAATAACAGTTGAATCAAGTTAAAAGAAAACTTACCCATCAAGATGTGGGGCAGGCTGAGTTGTTCTATGAACAGCAAAATAGACACACTAAAACTTAAAACATTAAAACTTTGTCATTATTCACACTACAATATTGTTTAATGTATCACAGAGATGCCATTTTACCTTGGAAGACCTGAAACCTGACCCAAGTTGTTCACTCCTTGGATCAGGTGCTATTTAGCAGATAAATTAATATCCAGTGGATAAGCATTAATTAGCGAAAACAACTGGATCAACGACTGGATAGCGATTAATATTATCAAGTTCATACATTGAAGTACATAAACCCCCTTTTAAACTTGAACCTGGGGCCTTGAGAAAAGAAAGGAATTGAGAATTAAAGGCGGGGAAAATTAGACAACAGCAGGAAATTAAAAAAGAACTGAACCATTTTTGTTAGTGTAATTAATTAAGTTAACAGTGCACAGTGGTTGAGAAGGTGGGTAATGCTATTCATCAGATAAATAATGTCACTATCCAGAAGACATGGTAATTGGCTTTTATAACACTCTAACCACTCCACAGCATAAATTTATACAGTGGATAGTACCACAGGGCCTGACTTACACTAGACATCTACAAGTATGATGCAGTTGAATTTTAAACTTGGTTTCAAATTTATTTTCTTTAGTTTTGGGATAAAGTATTGATAAAATTTCAAACCAAAAATTGAAAATTGAACCACAAAATCTACAAATGATATGACATGTAATCACTGCAGTTATCACAATTACACCCTTGTGCTTCTCATAAGTTTTAATGTTGTATATTATTTAGATAAGCAGTTAGAAATGTACATCCCATTAGATCGTCTTTATCATAATAATAATAATAAATTAAGGGTTTCCTGAAAAATAGGAGTAATTTGCTTATTATTGATAAGCAAATTACGCCCTTTTTACTATCATAGTAATGAAGATCAATGAGAGTGTTATAATGCTGAGATCTGTAATGTTATTGCATAATCCAATAATTTTGCATAATATCGTTTTAATTCTCCACATCATGAGCTAGCTGATTTATTAGCTGACAGATTAATATAAACCGATCAGAAGCTGAGAATGTCTTGTGTAAAAGATAATAATTGT